TAATAATATATTTATATATTATATATATAAAAAAGTGCTTCCAGTTACTCAACAGTTGCAACAATATTACATTTACCCTAACGGCAGAGCAGACTTGCTGCCATTCATAGGAAAATGCAAGTTGAACAGATACTTGTATTCTTGCAAAAAAAGGATAAACTTAGCATGGAATGATGCTTTTACATTTGCATAAAATAATGCAAGATTTTATTTACCTTCTGCACAAACTGGCTGTGAACGTTGACTGTATTTGGGTTTAGATCTATAGTGCTTGAAAGAAACTGGAAAAACTCAGCCAGTGTATTGTAGCAATTTAAATAACTTATTTACCCTGGGGAATGCAGAAACTGTTATTGAAAAAAAAAAAAATTAATTGGTTACTTTTTCTGATTATATCCTAGGTTATTCCAAAAGATTATAAGACTATGGCTGCTTTGGCAAAAGCAATTGAGAAGAATGTGCTGTTTGCCCATCTTGACGATAATGAAAGAAGGTAGGAATAAATCTTTGTAGTCTTAAAGAAAGCTTCTTAAAGTGCGGGCTTCAGAAGAGCTAAACGTGTCCTAATGTACCAAGCTGCACAGCCTCTTGACAACAGTCAGTGTAACCATACGGAGGTTGTAGGAAAAGTATTGGCGAGTTGAAGGTACAGATCTATGATTGCATGCGTCGCAGTTGTCCAAGCAGTTGTCTAATTTTGATATCCTTTTCTTCAGTGACATCTTTGATGCAATGTTCCCCGTCACTTACATTGCAGGAGAGACTGTCATACAGCAAGGCAAGTAACAATCTTTACATTGATGGAAAAGGTTGGGGATGGTGAGCAGGCTCTGGCCTAGTGCTCTTAGTTTTGGTTTGTTTTTTTTTTTTCGAAAATAACATTGGATGCAGTGACCCTTTATTGCTATGTTATCTGAAGCACAGCTCGTGCTAAGGTGAGGCCTGGAGTAATTGTAGGAAGATGTGGTTTTCTTGCATATGTTATCTATTGGAAAGATTGTCGTTTGTTGGCTCTGTAGAATACATTATGTCAGTTTATGGATCCGGTACGCCTTTCCAGTAATCCTGGAAATGTTGCTGATCTCCTGGATACCAGTAGATGTCCTCTTTCACGGGACTGAGAGGAGCGTGAAATTGGCAAAATGTGACATGTCACCCTGTGAGCTGTGCAAAATTTGTCTCTGCCAACCTTATTAGATTCTAATCATCAAAGTTGGCAGAGATGCCAGTTCTGCGAGACATGAATGCTTGCATAGCTTTACTCTCATTTTAGTGTATATTCAATTTTTTTTTTTTTTTTTAGGTGATGAAGGTGATAACTTCTATGTTGTTGATCAAGGAGAAATGGATGTAAGCATTATTGGTAGTTTACTAATGACATGCTCATCCCTAACAGAGGAATAGCCTGGTCTATTTTACAGGTCCTTGCTTTAGCAGCTTTTCTCCTAGTGAGTTCTTAGTTACAAAGCTTATTTTGCTTTGGAGCCTCTTTGCTCCTTAAGGGTTCAGTCTGGCTGCACAGACTGAGTTGTCTTGAGTTTCAAAATGAATGATTTGGAAACCAACAATGCTAGTGCTTTACAAGTGCGGGGTGGAGTCTAGCTGAGGTGTGGGACAGGCTTTAAGAATGACCAGACCTTTTATTTTCCAGTCCAACTAATCCATAGCTTTGTCTGACAGAAACTTTCTTGAGATTTTATTTCCTATCAAAGGGTCTCAGGAGTCTACGTGTGTAGTATCTGCGCATGTGATGTAGAAGAGAGTCTCTTTGTCAATGAAAGTAAAAATTGTGGCTAGGACTGGGGTTGGATGTGAATGTTGATGAAACCCTGAAGTGGTCAACTCTGTACAGACATGAGAATTTCCCTTTACTATAAAGGAAATGCGGGGTCGTAAGAGCTTTGTGTTGTCTCTGACCAGCTCACAGGACGCTGTGGGCCTTGGCTCATCACCATGCACTGCCTTTCAGGTTTATGTGAACAGTGAGTGGGCGACCAGTGTTGGTGAGGGTGGAAGCTTTGGAGAACTTGCCCTTATATATGGAACTCCCCGTGCTGCAACTGTCAAAGCGAAGACGAATGTGAAGTTGTGGGGCATTGATAGAGATAGCTACAGAAGGATCCTGATGGCAAGTATTTTTCTAACTGATGTGTGGCTTATGCCACTGACTCAAGTAGCTGTTTGCTGACCTGGAATTATGCTTTTGGTTTTACTATTCACTCATAATGGTCATTTGACCTTCTATCTGTCCCTGTCCTTTGCTGGAGTTACTTATTCAAAATCCTGCTATCTCTTTTGTAATCAGAAAGCTGATCGCTTGGCATGCATCTGTCGGGCGTGGGGCGAGGGGGAATCTTGCATTAGTGAACAAAACGATATCAATGCAATATTAAACTGGAGTAAAAATGTGATACCTACTGGTTAACTTGCCAGTTTTGATTCTGCTCTCTATTTAGCTTGCTGTTTGTAAGTAGTGTATGTCAACTGCAGCTGTAACTAAGTAATATTTGTGAATTTTGGTAAAGTTATACAGTAAGAATGCATTTAAGAAACATTAAGGCTGCAATAAATGCTAAGTATGTTATGAAGGTTGCTGAACTCTGCAATATCACTGAAATAATGAAATTTGAAAACACTTAATCTTGTGGGTTTGGGGTCTGTGAGACAGGATGTGGTATGTTTGGTTAAATATATTTTTGTCTTAAGTTTTATTTGAAACCTCATGTAAAACATGAAGTAGAAGGAAAACTTACTTTGTGTGGGGATGTGTTTGGTTGGTTTTTGTAGGGGAGTACTTTGAGAAAGAGGAAGATGTATGAGGAATTCCTTAGTAAAGTATCTATATTGGGTAAGTGAGAAGATTTTTGTTCTGAAGTGGAATAAATTGCCATATTGTAATAAAGCTGTTACCCAGCATTATTATGATTACAGGCTGTTGTGGTAATCCGTTTAAACTGACTGCAAAGCCTGTACTGCTTTTCTGTATCATTCCAAAATAATTCTAATTCAAGTCTTGATATCTGATGCATAAATGTCACCAGAAATAGGTTGACCTCTGGATAAAGACAGAGTAAAAAGTATAACTTGTACCTTGAAAAGATACTCTGTTAATGAATTATTAACTCTATAGAATCTCTGGACAAGTGGGAGCGTCTCACTGTAGCTGATGCATTGGAACCGGTACAGTTTGAGGATGGGCAAAAGATTGTGGTCCAGGGAGAGCCAGGAGATGAGTTCTTCATTATCTTGGAGGTAAGGTCAAAATTAAAAGCTCAGAACTTTACTTCTTTTTTTAACATGGTTTATTCTGTCCCTAAGTAGGCGCTGGGAGAAAAATGAAATGTAAGAATGTACTTGTAGAAAATTCCTAAAGAAATATAATCTTGCTGGACATGCAGAAGCTTATATTTAGTTTTGCTGTTTGTACAAATGGTGCTTCCAGGAAAAAAGTAATGAGTTTCTGGCTGAAACCAGTTTCTTTTTCAGAAGAGTAGAAGCCTGTTCTAGATAGCTAGTAAAGTCTTGCTGATGGTATCATTGTCTTCTGTGTGGGTTTTTTTGTTTGTTTGGGGTTTTTTGTTTGGTTTTTTTTGCTAGTCATACTGCAACATTGTTACTGTTACAAGGAAAAACAGGAAGAAGTCAGTGCTGCGGATACATAAATACCCAAGACCTTTTATACTTAAAAGGGAGGACCAGCTGTTTTTAGAGCCATCCAGTGAACTATGCAAGGACTGTGAAGTGGTTTTTAGACTGAAACATCATAACAGTTACTTCTGCAAAGCAGCTGATTCCTTGTGGAATTTGTGTTTCAAGTGATGCTGGAAATTCCAATTGTTTAATTGTTGTGATTTATTAAAGGGCACAGCTGCAGTGTTACAGCGTCGATCAGAAAACGAAGAATTTGTTGAAGTGGGCAGACTGGCACCTTCTGATTATTTTGGTGAGTTACATAGTGACAACTGTGATTACATACACCACTGTCTCCATTTTACCTGTGCTGTGTGGATGACTGCTGTGGATGATAGCGATGGGATGAATTTGCTTAATTACTGGCTTGGCTAACTCTTGTAGTTTCACTCACTGTCAGGTGAGTATCAGAGTCACTTGGCATTCAGGTGTGCATGCATCTCACAGAAATGTGGTGGTTCTAGAGGACTTTAATTTAGAAGGTGCCAGATGGTGATTTGGTCCGACCTCCCTACCCTGAGCAGAGCTGACTTGGAAATTGCATCATATTGCTCAGGCTGTGTCCATTTGAGTCTTTTGTGTCTCCAGGGATGGAGATCCCACAACCTCTCTCGGCAATTTCTTTCACTGTCCAACCAGCCTTGTTGCAAAGAATTTTTTTTCTTCATGCCTGACAAGAATTTCCTGTTCTGCACGTTATGGCTTTCTCTCTCTCTTTCACCATGCAGAGAGCAGTCTAGTTTTGTCTTTATAATCGCTCATTACGTAGCTGAACACAGCAATAAGATTCCCTCCTTAGCCGCCTGTTCTCCAGGTCAGACTAACCCAGCTCTTCTAGCATCTCTGTGCACATCCTGTGCTGCAGTCCCATAACCGTCTGGGTGGCACTGCTGGACTTGCTCCACTTTGTTAGCGTCTTGTACTGGGGACCCCGAGATTGTGTGGTACTCTGGACGTAGTCTCCCAAGTGCAGATCAGAGTCTTTTCTCCTTCTGTTGAAGGTGTTCTTACTCAGCTAAAAGTTACATGGCATCTAAGTTGCTTTGACTTGAAAAAGCTTATGTGTGCTGGCAAAAAAAAAAAAAAAAGACTTCAGATCCTATTATAAATACTTACAAAGACTTTGAAATAATCTTCACATGGAACTAATCACTTGTCCAGTGGATGTTGATTTATTTTGGATCACAAATGAGGACTGGGATACGTATGCTTATGGAGTGTTCTCGGAGTATAATTTAGTAGTATATAACAAGATATTCCTGGTGGCCTTATTTTGGGTTCAGAAGAAAACTGGCTTGCAGTTCTGAAATAAAGCAACCTATTCAGAACCTACTATTTAATCTTTAAATACTTCTACCTCTCTCTCTCTCAAAAAAAAACCCAACACAACAACCTACTTTTTTTTCTTATGTTTATGGTAGGTCCTCTCTCCTTACTACTCTGTCTAAGCAGTCCTCTTGCGAAAGCCTTCTGGTTGTCTGTTCGGTTTTTCAGCTTCATAGATGATGTAATCAACAAATACTGTGGTGCGAGGCCTGAAGTGGGATGTACTCGGGGTGCGCTAATAGTACTGGATCTGACCAAAGGTCTGCTTAGCTCTGTATCTAGTACTAGGTTTTTGTTCTGTATATGTCGTTTCAGTCTCTTCTGACTTTTTCCCTTGATGTGTACTCTTGAGTTTCCCACTCTTAAACTAAATGTTATCTCTACTGTTGTGTTCAGGTGCTGCAGACCTGTCCCCCAAGGGTTTAACTCTCCCTTAGAACCTACTTTTTTGCAAGCCTGTGTTTTGGAGGCTAGTGAGTTTGAGTTTTAATTGGGCACAGAGGAAAAGTTTTTTTTCTCATTTCTTTTGAACAACCCTTTTGATAACGCAGGGAAATTTATTCTCTGAGGAGCACTGAGTTCTTCCCTCAGTCCTGAACATGGAGATAACCAGCCCAACACCTTAAAAACAAACAAACCCAAAGGTTGATGCTGTGGTTTCTTTCATGCTTGTTGCTAGGAATGTTAGGGGTAGCTGTTGTCACCAATGGAAACAGGCTTGTTTAAAACTTCATTTCCAAATATGTTGTTTAGTGGTCATAACAGTTATTTCAAACAATCTTTTGGCGTGTGTGTGTGTAATTTATGAAATGGGAATCCAATGTGACTTCAAGATTCTCATCTTCCACAGCCCCATGGCAAAGTCAGATTCTTGATTCTGGCTTGCTGTGGGTCAGAGGCTTCTGTGTGCTAATATTTTTTTACTTCGATACCGTGGTCGTCTTGTCCTGAGTTTTCTAGAAATATGAGACTGGAACAGTAGCATACCTTACATACTAGAAAAATAATTACTTGTTGACTGGGAAAATTACATGGTTAATTGAAACATGACCTTTTCTCAAATACAACCAATGCTGAAAATTCTTTAGGCCTTCTTCAGTGACACTTGAATGCAGACGGGTGTTTTAATAAAACAATCAAGTAGTTTTGTTTGTTTTTAAACTGCCTTCACAGTTGGTTCTAATGTAACTACATAGATACTTGTTCTGATCAGTGTTATAAAACCTGAATTACCTTCTGTTCCATTCCTGCAGCAGTTTGAAATACAACAGGGTAATTTCTTCAGCTCTTTTGCACGTTGATTTTTAACACTGTTCACGCTTTCCTGTTGCCCTAGGTGAAATAGCTCTGTTGATGAACCGTCCCCGTGCTGCCACAGTTGTTGCTCGTGGCCTGTTGAAATGTGTAAAGCTTGATCGACCCCGATTTGAACGTGTCCTGGGTCCGTGCTCGGATATTCTCAAGCGAAACATCCAGCAGTACAACAGTTTTGTATCGCTGTCTGTCTGAAACCTTCCTCCCTATCCAAAACATGCTTCACGAATGCAGACTGCTTTATTACCCTTGTGCAGAGCCACATTGCCACTGGCATTTGCAGCTTCCTGTCTGTTTAAAAAAAAAAAAAAAGAAAAAAAAAAGGCTTATCATGGCACTATTTTTAATTTCGAGCATATTAGTTCTGTGCTCTCTGTCCCATTAAATTAATAGAAAAAGTTCTATGGAGACGTTTGCTGTTACGGCTTCTCTCTGTGCAACCGTGTCCAACTCAGGCAAACGCAGCCTTGCTTCGGCGAGGGAGAGATCTCCCGGCACCATGCCACTTGCCATAGAGTAAGGAGGTGACAGTGTGTGGGGGATTTTTTTAAAGGTGTTTCTCAAATTGTTGGACAGATTTTTAAGGCTGTGGTCATAATCTGCTGTATTTCTTTCCAAATGAGAACTGCCCTTGTAATTGAGCTTCTTGGGGCTTGGGGTTTTCTTTTTTTAATTTTCTGGGTACTGTAATCCTGGGTTCAATCGTGAGGCATCAGCTGCTAAGAAAGCCACAGTTGGAATTTAACAGTATAATTGTTCCTGTGTCTGCTGGTTTAAGATTGCTTAGTTATGTTTTTGTCAAGTGTAAATCAAAGCTTTCAAGGTTAATAGTTCTGGTGAACTACTGCAGTTGTTACTTAATTTGCTGACTTGCCGCAACTGATTTTTTTTCTTGTTCTTTCTTCAGCGATAGATATGCCATTTAAAACTCTTCCTGTTCAAAGTGGCAAGAACCAAATGTTACATTCAATGCCTAACTTTGGTCTCTAGGACATAGATTGGTGTAAGAATGGTGCAGCTGTCTGGCTGTTAGTAATGTTCGAGTACTTAGATTGGTGTAGAAATTGGAAGCAAATATTTTATTTTCCCAGTGACTTTTGCTTGCTTTGTATTCCTCAGTTGACTTTTAAAAAAATGATCATAAGTTCAGGTGACCCTTTGTTACCAGGGAAAATAAATGTTGAGTATTTATGGCCAGCATCAGTTGCAGGTGGCAAGATTGCTGGTCTACATAGATGCCATTATTGTTGTTAGAAAATGTGAGGCAGAAAAAGTGAATGTTTTAACTTTCCTGCAACACACAGTTATTTTAAGTTTTTATCAGTCAATTCATGGTTTTTAAAATGGTTAATTATAAAGCTAGTTTAAATACAAAAGGTGCATTCTCTTTCCTTGCTTATACATGACACATATTTCATACTCTTTTTTCCAATATGTTGCGGAGTCTTAAATGTATTTCAGTATTTACCAGCTTTGTGTTCCATTATTCTGTGCGCACCAATACTTCCCAAAAGTTTATACTGAATTCCACGGTTCAATAATGGTAGGCAATTTTTAAGGTTTCCTTTAAACTGTAATTTATATAAAGTAGTGTAGGTTTGTATTTGGGAGTGACAGCAAGCAGTTTTGCATTTGTTGTGCAACTACTTCTAACGATGGAGCCCTCATTTTATTTCCTTTCTGAGGTGATATGGATTCAAATTCAGCAGACTTTCTCCCAGGCACGAGGTAATCAGAGTCTGCTAATTGATACAAAATAATACTGAGGGTGTCAAGCCTTTACAAAAGGTTTCAGGGTATTTCTGAACCTGAAATTCCAATAATGGGATTTAAATGCTTGTGGTTTGAGTTATCTAATCAGAAGATGTTGAGTAGAGGATTTCTGCCAGAGTCCTTAAGGAGTAAGCAAATGCTACCTTTTTTCTTTTTTTTTTTTTTTTGTAAAACTGTTTTCTTAAGTTTTGACTCTATCCAAGTTTTTTCTTCATATGTGTTCTGTGTGTTACTTTAAAGCACCAAAAACTGTGTAAACTAGTTAGAGCTCCACAAAAAAATGCACATTTTTTTTATACAAGGCTTTCTAATCGAGTTTCACTACTGCATCTTTTTAGCTTGCTGTTTACTCCCTTTTGTAGTTTTACCTACAAGATTTTAAGATAAATCAGCTAAGTCTGAGTTAAATATTAATCACAGTTATAGCTTTACCTTTGTGTGCAATTTAAATATGTTTGAAACCACAATTGGCATAGTTTTGCCTTAGCTAACATTCAGGGCTTTAGAAGTAATATTTTGCTAGTCCACCTTTAGCGAATTTATGAAGTCTATTGCCCTAGAAAGCTATAGTCAACCAGAGGACCATTTTTGTATTGTTACCTGACTATATAAGTCTGATTTACTGTATGTGCTAATATATTATATTATATTCCTTTTGTTATAGATTGTCCTAATGGCAGGTAAAGCAATAAAATGATTTAAATTCTTAAATGCAATCAGTCTCTTTTTTTTTTTCCCCATCCCTGTATTGTGTTTTCTTCTGGCCTTAGTTTTTTCTACCACCTCATTAATAATGTATCCTCTAAGAAGCTGAATGGCTTAGCTTTGTGTTAACTCTGGAGGCTTGAGCTCACGTCCTAGCTTACAGCACAACTGAACCTTCCCTGCAGGAGAGCTTGTTGTCCACAAGCCAACCTGTGCCTGGGACCTGGGAACTTGTCTGGAGTTGTGGCATTGGGTGCACATGGCTTTTGAAGTGAGAAGGTACCTGCGTCTTGCTTGAGTATCTCTTAGCAACTCCTGCTGCTTTGATCTTTTAAGGTTGTTAATTCCCAGCCACTATTAAGCTGAAGGAGGGGAGATTTAGAGGAGATAACTAGCAAAAAAATTCTCCCCTGTGAGGGTGCTGAGGCCCTGGCACAGGTTGCCCAGAGAAGCTGTGGCTGCCCCCGGCTCCCCGGCAGGGGGCCAGGG